ATACATACATACATACATACATACATACATACATACATACATACATACATACATACATACATACACAACTCATTTAGTTGCTTGTATATTTAGGCAGAATGTCGAATTTAAGTTCATCTTATTGACTCCAGTTCAACTATAAAATATGAATTTGTGAAGACCTGGACTCCCTTGAAAGTCATAGGTGGCGAAGTTTATACACTGCTATTTAGCATGAATGATTCGTTTCCGAATCCCATAGTAGGTTCAGACACGAGTGGGGCCAGCCAGAAGGAGAAAGCTTTGGGGGAGTTAAAATGCAGTGAAACTAAAAGAATAACTGGGGCCTTTTATCCTAGTAATTGTTAGAAACCCAAACTTTCATGCCTTTTATAAACTAAAGCGACTAACGCGACTCGATTCCTACTAAAAGCTGTATATATAGTTTCAACAACTACTAATTCTGACAGATTTTATTGAATTTGCCATTCCAGAAGGGGCAAGCGTCTGTTTCATCTGCACTGTATCGGACTCGAATTGCTATTTTCTGTAGGCAAGAACTTTAATTTTATTTGAATTGCCCCAAAAAGCCGTATAAATGGCATTTTTGTAAGTCATATTAAAGATTTCCTTCCTAGTTATTATTGAATCTGGTGCTTCTTTACGAGCGAACCAGTCAGATCAACGAAAAGTTCAGTCTAAAAGCTGGAATCACGGCAACTGAAATCAACATGTCATTGTGGTAGCAACAAAGACGTACTCATAGAAACAGAAGGATGCACGAATAACATAGAACCCTATAAATTTGATGCCTCTAATAATATTTCTTACAGTCAAGCCTTGCCTAAAAATGGGTGATTTATGAATATACGATAAGGCAAATTAATCACTTGTTAATATTGCTTAAGAAATGACAAACTAATCTATCCTTATCGAATAAAATCCTTTGCTCATTCAGAAATATAATCTTTTTTGAGGTCAAAAGGGCTTGAGCCCATCGTGAAATATGAGTTTTGGGGATTTTTTGCGAATTTCGTGAATGCTGCAGACATACTGACGACCATGCTTTGCTCCGAGCCGCCTAGTTCGACTCGACCCTGGACTGTCCCGATTGCGGAACACCAAGCCTCAATACACGATATCCCAAATCTTCTAAATATCCTACAGACCAAGACAGTTAGCATCATTTAGGAAGCTACTGTAAGAGCCGTATTACTTTTACTTCATATTTTAAAGTCGAGGGGTTCTTTGTTGGCGTGTAGGGTGGTGGGATCCCTGTCAAAATCTCGTGAGATTTTATGCTTTTGGGTACCGTCTCAGTGAGAACTAGCCAACTTTTACTGCCGTAAAAGAAGACGATACTTTTTGTCGCCTGCTACAAGTAAGCAGTTTTTGAACAAAAGGCCATGCGTTAAAAAAAAGTATCCTTAAAAGGCTGTAACAAGCAACTCACTCTTCAAAGAACGGTTGTAAAGTGGTGCTGTTCAGTGGAATCTTCTTGATGAACAGAGGTTTTGTCAAAATATTGGCAAAAACCACCACTTCCGCCATTAATCTCCAATATCTGACTTGTGGCCCAAAACGCCTGCACGCTTTCGGCCCAGCGTGTTTCCGAGCCAGTCGAGAGCTACATGTACCATAGATTGACCAATAGTGAGCTAGTGATGGCCGGTATTGTGGTATTTTCGTATTGGAGTAGAGTTTCGAGACTACCAGTAAATCAGTGTAATGGGATGTATTCACCCTATTTCGTCTAAGCTGATGAAGGACCGGTAGAAGAAGAATTTTCCCACAATGATATGAGTTGAGCTGACGTTTCCATTGAACAACTTTC